GAGAGAGAGAGAGAGAGAGGGAGGGAGAGGGAGAGAGAGAAAGCCAAAAAGAGTATTAAAAAAATATTGTTCCAGTACTATAAGTCTACTAGACACACCCCTCCCCCCTTTCCCCCCTTTCCTTCTTTCTCTCTTGAAAGGTATCACGTTAAAAAGTAAAACAAAATATTTCCAAATGCTCTAGGATTACAATAAGATTTCTTGAAAGGTATCAAATAAAAAGTAAAACGATCTTCCCGAACTTTCTGTGGCTACATAAGATCTACTTCTTTCTTGAAATGTAACATGTAAAAAGTCAAAGAACCTTACTGAATATTCGGGGCTACAATAAGATCTACTTCTCTCTTTAAAGATAGCATATAAAAGTGTAAAGAACCTTACTGAATATTCGACGGTTACAATAAGATCTACTTACTCTCTTGAAAGATAGCAAGTAAAAGGTTGAGACCCTTACTAAACATTCGGTGACTATAATACGATCTACTTCTGTCTTGAAAGGTCGCATGTAAAACGTTAAAGACCTTGCTAAATATATGGTGGCTACAGTAAGGTTTACTTCTCTCTTGAAAGGAAGTATGTAAAAAGTTTAAAAAATCTGCCCAACTTACTGAATATTCGGTGGCTACAATATAAAGATCTACTTCTGTCTCGAAAAGCATCATGTAAAACGTTAAAGAACCTTACTAAATCTACTTCTTTCTTGAAAAGTGGCCTGTAAAAAGTTAAATAATATGCCCAAACAAAGCTAAAGAGTCCTACTGAATGTTCGGTCACAGCAATAGAAAAGCTACTTCTGTCTTGAAAGGCATCAGGTGAAAAAAAAAAGAATGAATCTCACCCCCAGCGCACGTCTTGCCGGTATAGCCAGCTGGGCAGGTACAGGTGAAAGCGTTGACCTGGTCATGACATGTAGCTCCGTTCTGACACGGCCTAGACTTACAGTCGTCGATGTCTGAGTAGGGGGAGAGAAGAAAGTTATCATCATCATCATCATCATCATCATCATCATCATCATCATCATCATCATCATCATCATCATCCTCATCATCATCATCACCATCATCATTTTGTTGTTGTATAATATAAAAATATGTAATGAACAACTTGAATATGTTTTAGGCTTCATCTTAATTAAACGTATCTTAAACAATGTTGAACAACATTTCGACCAAAATCATCATCATCATCATCATCATCATCATCATCATCATCATCATCATCATCATCATCATCATCATCGTCGTCGTCGTCGTCGTCGTTTTCATCATCAATGCCATCGCCGTCAGAGCCAATCTACGCCAATTTCATTTTCCTGTTCAGCATCCGTTTCGGTGTTGTCTTTATAGAGGTCAATATTGCTACCGTCGTCCGAATAATGAATCCTTTCCATTTGCGCAGAGTCGACGATATTTTCTTTTATAGATACAGTACATGTAATTTCACCATACGCCTACTAACCGGAATACCACAAGTAATTAATTCCATTGAACGCCAAAGAATCAAATGGTTCGGACATATCACCAGAATGCCACAGAAAAACTAGCGGCAAGAGTTTACCACACTCGTGAATCTGGCTTCAAATCTAGAGGAAGACCTAGAAGGACCTGGCTGGATGGGGTTAAAAAGGTTCTGGGACAACATAAGATAATCTATCACAGACGCTACACACCTAGTACAGGACCGAAATCTGCACCCC